AACCCTTTTGTACCATCTTTTAATTCCTTTTTAAATACCTGGTTCTTCCATGTATGGAGGAGCATGTGCTCTCCACCCAGGATGCAGTGCTTAAGCCTCAGTAGCAAATTGCCAGGCCCATACACTGTGACCTAAGAAGGAGAAGAAGATTAACCTTGTGCAAGCCCTAACTGCATTACACAGAGAGCTCCCACAGAGAGTCAGTGAGTGAGGGGTTCTTCTTACAAGCAACAACTGCTTCTAGCACAATCCTAATAGCCCTTTCACATCAGCCCGCGTATGGGTTATGCTCGCTGTCCCTATAATGTGCACACACTAGTGTGCGTTGTGTAGGATTGGTGTGATGCATGGTTACAATGGACCAGGTTTGTTGATCACATGCACCTGCTGTGAATGAGCTCTAAAGCTTGGCTAGATGCAGTGTCTGGCCACCTTTAAGGGAAGGTATAGTTGTTTTTGAATATTTTTATTTTAGTAAATATGTAAAAGAGACCTTATCAATACATGCTTTAATTTTAAAAGACTTGTTTCTACGTACTGTGTAATGTCCACTTACCGGTATATATGAACATGAGGGCCATATTTATGATATACCCAGGCCCGGCTTCCTTATTTGCAGTACTACCTACAGGTTGTGCCTTACTGCTTCTTCCTATGCAAATCTATGTGGTTGATTTACTAAGAAGAAGAAGAAGTATAGAATATTCTATTAAAAGCATCTCAATGCTTTCATTCTGCTTTAAATTTAAATTCAAAGTAAAGGCACTGCCAGTTCTCTTCAGTTTGCACTAAGGGGTCCAATTAAAAAGCAGTGGTATGGCCCTATTATGGCCATACCACTGCATTAAATACCAAAAAACTGCAGATTTATAAAGCACAGTGGTTTTACAAATGTGCATTGTGCTCCATTGGCTTCAGGAGTCTGAAGCCGAGGGAGTGCAATAAAACTGAATGGGAGGAGGGAAAAAAAGGTAGTAGGAGAGCCTATCAAAGTCACATGACCATAGAGTCCCATAGAGTCTTATGTGAAATCAACATTCTCAACTGCTATCCTATTCAGGGAAGTGGCACATGGGGAGGTCACATAATCCCCCTCCAGTGAAAGAGCACTGATGGGTAAATATACCTTGATGAGGAGGTGGGCTATCAGGAGGCATTGCCACTTTGCCCTGTATGGGCAAACTGAATAAAACAAAGCTACGTTTAATTCAATCATCCAACCATGCGTAAGATAAAATCTGTTTTCTTTCTCATTTTCCTTGCACATGGTTCTATATTGAAAGTGAGAACACACTGCTTGATCCTAAAAACTCCTGGGTACTTCTGAGTACAGTCTCATGTTATAATGTTGTAAAGCCCTACATTCTTGTACTTAGTGGACAAAACAACCTTTGTTTTATCTGCTCCTAAAGTAACCATAAGAGTCTGTATCAATAATTTATCTTGTAGGGCTGCTAGATCATCAGTATTGTGATATTGCTGTATTGCCCCTATACTATTCTATCCAGTAACACAGTGATATAAATGGCACTTTATAAAAAAATATATAAAATGATATTGCAAAAATATAATAACCGATGCAGACGTGTCTGTAGCTTTGCATGTCTAATAGCAATATTTGTAGTATCTTGCTTATTGGTAGTAACTTTATTACGCTCGTTAGCACTCTAAGGACTGTGTTCATGAAAATACCAGGTGACGGACCTTTATTGTAACACCATTCTATGTCATTTTATGTCACTATCAACAGGTACTCCAAACCAGAGGAGCTTTATTGAAGCCTAATTGAACTTTCAATCTAAATAAGCTAAATACACTACGGGTGCATGAAAACAAAAGCCTTCTTTAGAAAGCAGCCACAGCTTCAGTAGAAAAGCCTCTCCCCTGCCAGAATGGTGTAAAGGACCCTTGCTCTCTGTGTGGAAACAATGGTATCTCTACAGAGCAGTGACGTGCGGTACCTCTTGTTCCGGGTGCGGCATTGTCCCGCTGCCCCGCCCCTGCTGGACGAAGTCCCACCCCCAAGCTAGCGTAAATTAGAAAGGGAGGAGACAGGGAGGAGCCTCCCTGTCCCTCACTTGCTCCTCACTGCTGAGGCGCTCCGTCCATGACAGGTTACATAGCGGGGAGGATTTCCCTGCTGTGTAACCTCTTAGATGCCGATCTGAATGGAGAAAAAGCTGTCAGCTTCAGACATGAAACTGACAGCTTTTTCCTCCATAATTCTAGGTGAGGCTCTGCCTTACCTGCCTTCCCTGACCGCACGTCCCTGCTACAGAGGTCTAACATGCCCCCTGGTGAGTCAGAGCTAGGGAACTACAATCAGCAAAGCTCAGACTCCCTGCTGATTGGAAAGCTAGCGCTGGCACAGCAGCAGACTTGTTAGACCTGTGCAGACAGAGAGTAAGAGTCCTGCTCTACGGCATACTGACAGGGGACAGGCTTTTCTACTTAAGACTTGGCTGCATTATATAGAATATAACCTGTAAACCTTTTAAATCTTTTGTTTTAGCTGGAATGTATTTAGCTGATTTAAACCGAAAGCTCAGTTAGGATTTAACCAGATTCTCTTTTTTGCAATTCCCAATACAGCAGTCTAAACATGGCATCATTTGATTGGCTGATACAGGCCACAAGACTAGTCTCTCCTCTGTACTTTCTTGATAATTAGGCCCATTATTTTTGGCTTTACCTCTATTAGCATTACGATGATGACTAAGATGACTTTATTTAATTCTCACATCTTTGCTGTACAATCTTTAATAAAGACTTCTTACAATTAGACTCTGGCAATACAGTGATACCTTGGTTTACGAGCATAATTCGTTCCGGAAGCATGCTTGTAATCCAAAGCGCTTGTATATCAAGGCAAACATTTTCAGAAATGTTTGCTTGTCTTGCAAAACACTCTCAAACCAAGTTACCTGTAAACCAAGGTATTACTGTACTTTACTATCATTTTATCTCAAATTATATTGTGAGTAGTCTTACACATGAACTATTTTCGTTTGGCCACATAAATGGCAGGGGAAGGAGGGTGTGCTTAACCCTGCAAAGCCCCTAAGTGTCCCATAGAGTGTTATCTGAAATCTCCAACATCCTCAACTGCTAAATCTCCAAAATCATAAATGGTAACAACAATAAGAGCCGAACTCCAGCCCAAAAAGTTGTATTTAGTTTATATGTCATATTTTTTATTCCCATTGTGTCCCTAGTTGGGAAGGTACCCCTCAGCTCCCGTCAGGACAGGCAGTAAGGAGAATGCGTTTCCATAGGAAAACAGACAGAAACACATTTTTGTAGAATGAGAAATGATTAGAACTTCTGACAAAGTTTGTCTGTCTGTACCTTCCTGTTCCAGTGGTAACCACAACCACCACTTCCTTTAAGGACGTGGACAGAGACAGGAAGTTTGGGAAAATCTCCCCAATGGGATCAAAGATGGAAATAAAAAACTGGTGTTTGGGGAGAAATGTGCCATATTTATATTCATACTTCTTATATTGGTACCATATTAAACCAATGTATTTTGGGAGGGTATATGGTATTTCTGTTTCCGGGGTCACGCGACGTTCTGAAGAAGGGGACGTGACCCCGGAAACGCGTCAACGACGTCACAACCCAGTGGCACACAGACAGGTTGCAGTCTTGAAACTGCTGTTTCTCTGAAACCATCCATACACGCTGTTGTTTGACCTACCATTGTGAGTACCCTTGTACTTCTGTTTATCGTGTCTTTTAAAATTAAAAGGATTATCTGCACTAGGTTGGGCGCCCTTCTGTCTCTTTTGTCTTCCAGTTTTACAGTCTCCCCGGCTGAAGTGGGGCAGCACCACTAGCGATCCTGTACATATAACACACAAACATCAGGATTCGTCCACAGCGCTTTTGTTTTATCTTATATGTCTGTTAAGCTGCCTACCTAATAGGCACCTAAAGAAGTATATATTTACTTGCTGTCAGGATGCCTCCAATAATATTTGTCCAGTAAAGTCTTCTACTTAACCAAGCTATGATGAAGGGGAGTCCTTTAAACACTGAAAACCCATGGGTCTTGTATGGTAAAGGATTCTAAATAAAATAAAATCTGGACTTTTAGCCCTCATTCACACCAGGTGCCCCTACTCAGGCGCTGACAGGATTCATCCAGTCAGCATACGAGTACGGACACCCGCACGGAAGTGCAGGTCGGGTGAGCGTAGGGTGGCGTACAGCCGCGTACTCCCATAGAGAAGGACAGGCTGCTGCGTGTAATCACACGCAGCACCTGTCCTTCCCAGGATGCACCCGATATGGCCGTGCATGCAGTACGGATCTGTACGGGCCACCCGTTACCCGTGTGAATGAGGGCTTAATGTTTTGTTCCTGGCACTTGCTTTTCCACGCAGCAGATCTTTATCTAAGCTAATAGCCAACACATGGCTATCACTCCTAGAGAGCTGCCTGAAGGGAATGACTTGCTCTGCTTTGTTTGAAATCCTGAATGGAAACACCCACCACAATATAAGATCCAATACCCCATACCTTCTGAGGAATAAAAACTTGACACAAATCTAAAAAAATGTTGGCTAGAGTTGGGCTTTAAGAACAGTTATGTTTTAAACAAATATGATGCCTCATTTATCAAAACTGCCTAAAGGGTCATGAGAATTGTACTATATTTTCCAATGTGAGGTAGAAGAGGAAACTCTTCAGAAACTCAGAAACGTTTGATAAATACACCCCATCTCCTGAAAGCTGAATAGATTTAGAACTGCATTAGGGGTAAAGCTGAATCAAAGGAGCAGAACATAAGATGTTAGATGAGGCCTTGACTGTGCTTCTGTAAGATGCCGGCCACAAATATAACGCACAACTAGAAGTCTCCCGGGAAAGGCCACACTGAAGACAATACCTGGAGAGCCACAGAACACCATGGTAATTATAGCAGCAATCCTTGCCAGAGCTTTGTGGAGTCTCAGATTGTCACAGTGACCTCTGGCATAAAAAAAGGATCAAAAAAAAAAGAATACAATGGCTTTAATACTACAGAGAAGGATGTCCGTATCTGACCACCCCGAAAGACATTTTCTCACTGCTGAGACAGATTGCTGGTTTCATACTGTAATGAGTTTTATTCACAGGCTTCCTGCCAAATGGGCTACGGGTCCAGGAAGTTATACACCTTCAGCCTTGATGGGAGGCAAGTTGTGGTTCTTGAAGTAATCCACCATTTGTTGAGGAAGCTCTGCGAGTACCGCTTTGGCCAGAGTTTCCTTAGGAGCCTGAGGAGCAAAGAGACAGGTAGACAATTAAAGATGTGCTCATGGGTGTTTGAGGCCCTCAAGCTTTCCTGGGTACTATAGAAAATGCTCACTGATAGAACTGCGCATAGAGACAACTTTTTCCTTTATTTTTTTTATCTGACACATTTATTTTCCCATTATCAATAGAGAAACAGTCATCTAATATAATCTTATTTACATACTGTCACAATATTGTAAGCCAAGTTAGGACCACCAAAGTAAAGAACTGTTCCATATAAAATGTCACCTCAGCAGAGGGGTGTGCCTAGGAGAACCACTGATGAAAATCTGGCCCTGGTCATATAGCTAGCTGACAGAGAGGAGTGCATTAACCACTGTGAATGTGTGAGTGGTTGTCTGTTAGTGGATGGGGTTGTAGCTAAGAGGAAAACCAGAATTGTTTTTACCATAACTGCACCGAATTCTTTCTTTTACACACTGATCTTTCAGAGCAGCAACATTTACCGGTAACATCACAGCAATGCCAAAATGCCAAACCTGCACATTGCCCAAATAAAGTTAAAATGCACATGAAGGGTGACAAAGAATGACCTTTGTCCTGCTTTACCTTCTACTATAACTAAATAGATCTGCTCATCTATGGGCCACCCTAAAAACAGAGACTGGTATACAAATCCTACAAAAAAGCCTGGTTTAGTATTCACCTAAAATATGGCTATTATCTCAATTTACTTACATTACGAAACTCCCGAAATGGCACAAACTGTACAATGTCCCGCAATGCCTCCTCGCCAGTATGAGATTTGAGTACTCTGTTATCCCCATCGAGAAACTCCATGGCGGAAAAGTCTGCATTCCCCACTCCGATGATGATAATGGACATGGGCAGCTTTGAAGCTTGTACAATGGCATGTCTTGTTTCATCCATGTCACTAATGACACCATCTGTTATGATGAGAAGGGTGAAGTATTGCTGGAAAAGAAAATACACAGAGGTTTGCATGACTCCAGCTGTCTACCAAAATCAGTACCAATTCCAACACTGACAGTGAAAAATTTATAATGTCAGATTTCATTTACAGCAGTGTCAATACTCATGCATGAAAAAAGTTTGAAAACATTCTTTTTTATTATATTTGGCGAGCCATGTATTCGTATACCTGTAACTTAGATCCTGCTGTTATAGCTAATATTTCAGGCACCTGGGCATTGCAAACCGATACAATTTGTGGTATGGTGGGGCCTGGCTTGTCTTTTTCAGTAAAAGTCAAGATTTGTATATATTTGACAACTACAGCTGCCAATATCTCTGGGTCAACTTATTGTTTTAAAGGAGAATTATGAGGCGAATGATTTTCACTCAGCCTCATAATCTGAGACGACCTGTGACAATGAGACTGTCACAGGTTGGCTCAGTAGATCGGGAAGTGAGCGAACACATACCGGCGCTCACTAACTTCTCGATCCTGTGCCGGCAGGTAGCCATGAACGGGGAGCGACTGGATTCCCCCCTCCCCTGTCCAATCCTCCAGCGCTGAATGGCGGAGCGGACGGGGAAGGGGCGGGTACAGCTGGCTCTGCCTATAAATAGGCAGAGCCAGCTGTCACTCACGCAGCTGGGTGGATCCAGACATAATTGTCGGGATCCGTTCCGGCTGCAGCATCTCAGTATACCGCGAGCTTTGGGTGATGGGAGGATGCTAGTTTGTGTCCTCCCGTTACCCTTAGGAGAACTATGGGGAAAAGCCCTAACCCCATAGTTCTCCTTTAACATAAAGTGTTCACTAGGGGTAACCTTTGTTTATGCATTTTCCACCATTTGCCTAGTCTAAATCGCCCAAGTTTGTGACTAGTGTACTGTTGTCAGGACGGGTGCTAGACTATTTTGCGCCCTAGGCAAGATCAGCTACTTGCATCCCCCGAGCCCCCTCCAATGGTGCAACCCCTAATTCCACCCCCCTGCCAGTTAGCTTCCGCAGGTGACAGGTGGATGTAAGAAGCAGGGAGCAAGCAGCCAGGAGCAATAGCCAGACTACTATTGGCTATTTTAATTTGAAATAGCCAATAGCAGGTCTAGGCGGCTGCTTAGTTTGCCTAGTGGCAGCACCGGCCCTGACTGTCGTAACTTTACCTTTCTAATAAATCTGCTATTAGGAAGTATAATAAACGAATACACTCTACTAATTATATTATTTACCCTTTTGTATTCCATTATGTCTACATCTAGTGTATACCAAGAGAAGAGAGGATAATTCAAACTTTACTCATGGCCAAGGAATTCTGTAGATTTGGCTCTCTACGGGTGTCATAAAGATACATTTTCTGTGACTGCTGTTCCCGCTCTGCACCAAAGGAATTTTAAAGTAGAACCGTTGCCGCCAATTAAAAAATATGTGCTGCAGTGTTTAATTATAAGTGCATTTACATTTACCATCTTCCCTTAGTCCCCCTGCAAAGTCCCATAAAAACCTGTTGAACCTGAAAGTGAAGTCTACATAATGCAGCTTCCTTTAATAGGGGGACAAAACTGCTGCATTGCTACTGAATCAAAACAACGTTGTCCCTTTTGCAGGCTGTAGCTGTTTGCATTACAGTGGTTATGGGAAGATGCTGCAGGGGGTGTGGCTATCAGCATTGTCACTGCTGATTCACAAGCCTGTAGCTTGTCAGTCAGCACCTGGTCACACCTAGTCCTGGCCACTGCTTTCTCTATTGGAAGAACTGACTGTGCTGCCAAATCCCTTGTGAGCTGCAGTGTCTAGGAGGGGAAGCATATGAGACAAAAAAGGAAGTAGGATTTGGCAAGGGAAGTAAAGGAAGTCTTATTTCACTCGATCACATCACTTGCATCACATAATTACTGGATTTGTCACTCAGTTTAGACTGACACACGGGACCCTTTAGGTCCTTCGTTCCCAACTGGTGGGTCGTGAGCCAAAAGTGGGACGCGAGCCCGTGTTCAGTGGGTCGCCGCATGCTTTCCACTTTTCTAGGTGAGAGGCTCTTCTGCCTCCCCCTAGCACAGCACTGTCAGTTCTCGTGCCAAGCAGCCATTTAAAAAATGTTGCCTGGTGCTGAGTGTCAGCTTGAGGTGGAATGGGATGGGGCTATGGCCGCGAGGGAGCTCCATATAGATGGGGCTATGGCCGCGAGGGAGCTCCATATATACGTGCATTGCTTACAGCTCCCTCACATGTCCTATAGAGTTGCCTGGACCGGAGTGACATCACATTCTGGCTCCCGTCACCTCTACAGGGAGCTGTACAAGCAATGCACATATGGAGGGAGCTCCGTCACAGCACAGCTGCCTACCCTGGACCTCAGGCTGAGGATCCACTCCAGTTCTTGTAAGGTAGGGAGACTGGGTGGACCTTACAAAAAGAAAAAAGGGTCCGTTCACACTGGTACTGTGCGTTAGTTGCATAGTACCGTGCATTCTGGTGTGAGAGGTGTGTTGCATTGCCACTCATTCGAATGGTACCTCCCACCCACAGTTCGTACGCCTGCACCGGACCACGTGGTACCCTAACGCCGTGCTCTTCCATTGCAGAGCAGACATTGCAAACTTGGGTGGCGACTTAATGACCAAGGACAAATGTGGGTCCTGAGGTTACACAGGTTGAGAACCACTGTTTTAGGTGAACTTGACACATTTCCACCTAGGTAATATTGATAATGATTTCAAACAAGCATACAAGAATGGTAACACACCTTGTTTACAAGAATTATTAATTTACTAGAAAGGTGGATGTACTTTTCAGATTGTTGTTTCAGACAATTTTTGTGCAATCGTATCTGTTCACTGAAACACATGGTTGTTATGATCCATCTCAGGACGTGGTGGGGACAATAACAATAGCTAGAGAATATTTCACAACTGTGTTTTTCCAGTCTCCTCCCCTCAGTAAAACTGTTAAGTGCAGGACTTTGGCAGATCACAAGGTAACAGCCATCAGCTGTCAGTGAGCTGTGATAGGTATGATGGACTTTTACACTACCTGGTCACAGACTAACAGAGAACAGTAGAGGAATGCTACTACTGCAAAATGATTTTGTCATTGTGGGGCAAGCATCTTAATCCCAGAGGTAGATGCTGAACCCAGATGATGCCTGAACAAAAATGGCATTGGTGTTCTGGGGAGAAAGGAAAATAAAAACCATTGCCAGGGGAGTACTGTCATCTGTAATGTAAAAAATACCTACAATGTTACACTTAAATAGCAAATAGCACGCAATTAACATAAAACATATCCACTGCTAAGTTTGCTCTACAGTGGCTATGTCTTTTTTTGGAAATCTGCCACAAGTTGTGAATAATGTACTTACTGCTGCTGAATCTTGGGTCATTGCCTGTGCTGCAAATCGCGCCACATGGTTGATTATTGGGGAGAAGTTGGTTGGTCCATAGAAGCGTATTTGAGGGAGGCAAGCAGAGTATGCTTCTATAATGCCTTCAACTCCTATAAGACAAAAATATATTTTAGCAATTTAGAAAACTTCAATTTTGTCATGTACTAAGCAGCATTACGCAACATGTAAAATCAGTCTCCAAGATGCATTACAACTGTAGAAAAAAAACAAGAGTATTATCCATTGTAGCCAGTGTCAATGGGCTTCTTGACTCTGTGCAATCTCACTCCTTGAGAATTACAGATGAATACATATGAAATCTGGGTATGGGAATTAGCTAGTTGATCAATCAGATGCACTCTTGCTTTTACACACGGAGGAGTGTCACTGCCCTAGCTGTATTCTTCTTTTTTAAACCAAAATACAATTATAACAGGGAAAGGTGATAATGTATCATCATGACTGAAGGAGGTAAATGGATCTGACGTGCAGAAGGCTTTGTGACAGTAGTAGATTATAAAAGATATAAAGTGGGTGTATCATTTATGTTTCCAGTATCTATCCCACACCAACATTTTTGTTACAGTGGTCTAAAATAATGAATAATAACAGCTAGATGCCATATTCCAATGTCACACTATGCAAAATATGTAAATCACTACTACAAAAGAGCCAAGCAGACTAACCTGAACAGAACGGGCTTGTAGGATTAAAGTTGATAGCAAATTCATGAGACACCTGAAATATAAAGCATTCTGATAAGCCACAGACTTATGATATGTGATCATTTCTACCACTGTATGATAAAAGTAATGCAAACAATCTTATTTTATCTTACCTTGAGCTTCTTATATAGATATGAATATGACAGGATACAGATACAAGTATTACAGCATGGCAAACAGAGATTTTGGGGTTGATTTACTAACCTTATAAACACGCCACGAACAAGTATACACCTCTGTAGTGTGTTCCCTCCCAGCATGATCTATTGGTGGAATCTAGACACCTTTGTAGTGTGTACACACCCAGCAGGTGTGTTGTGCAAAGCCAAGCATGAATTGCAAGGTGATGTTGTGTAAATTAGCTCTACATTGTGTTGCTTGCGTTGATGAATGCAGGAATGTAAATGCATGAGCTAACCATTTTTGTCTAAACTGTGAAGCAGCATTATATATGCATCATGTGCATGATTTTTCCATATATGGCATTCGTGGAAATATGCTTTTAGAGACTTTTTGGTCGATAAATACGTTTTGCTGTGTAAAAATCACACGCACCTAGTGTGTGCATGTGTTTAGGTTAGTAAATCACCCCCTTAGTGTCTGAATTCTGTGCCCAGCACATTCACCTCCTGCTGGCAGTCACTCAACACTGGAGCTGAGCTCATGCTGTATCCCACACCTACCCTAAATCAGTAGTGTTTAGGGAGACTACTGAACATTCAGCACTTGATCAACAGGACAGTCTATCTGCCCATGCACTGGATAGAGATTTGTTTGACCCTGACTTCTCTCTGACTGTTCGTGCCTTGGATCGCTCCTGTGATTTTTTTGCAATGCTTGTACTTTGTTTGTCTGTGCTTACCATGCTCACCAGCCTTTTATCTCTGCTACTGTCAGTCTATGTTCTGTCTACCTGTTCGGAACGTGGATCCTGGTTAGGATCAGTTTGAATGTGCACAACACGACAATGAAACGGCTGAGTTTGTCACTCACTGCTGTTTGCTTTGACTATGTGTCTAAGGCAATCAAAGTTTGTCCTCTGCCCCAGACAACTATCCTCTCTTAGATGGACTGGCTCCAGGGGTGCTGCCCCTCCTCAGACCGGAAAGCTCTCATCCATACATATTCATAAGGAATTACACCACTCTATCATCAGTCCTGTCTATTAGTTTATTGTTGCCCCTGGTGACATAGTAGATCCACTAAACTCAGTATTTATAATAACGTCTGAGCCTGTACTATATGCACTTTGTCTAAATGATGGCTCTGTTCACTGTTATCTGTGACATTTGTGTTGTCAAGGCAAAGTAGAGGGAGCTCAGAGCAGTGAGCTATGTCATAAAGATGCGTCTTCTAGAAATTCATAGCTAGCAGTGTGCATACATGGTCCAACGTTGCTCTGTATAACAGGTGAGGATGAGGCTATATGAGACTTTCAAAGCAATAATAATACTAATGCACACAAGAAGTTCTCAATATTACACTAGTATACTATGTTTTACCTTGCTGGTAAATCATTGTGCAATGAACATCAGTTTGAAGGTATCAACCACACTTAAACTGCTACACTAAGTTGGCCAAATTGGTTGGTACCAGCAGGTTTAAAAGACTGCAAGATACCTCAACACCATCATTCTTAGTGAGACTTATGCCTGTCTTTAAGCATGTAAGGCCTCATTAGGAAGAATAAGACAGGCTGTTGGAAGGAACACTAATGTAGATCTCTTATATGCAAATCTTGACTTTCTCTGATTCCATCCTCAGCCAACTCCCTATTTGACAGTGATGCTATCCATCATGTGTAACAACCAATAGGAAGTTTCAGTAAGCGGAAGGAGCAAGGCTACCCTTGACTTTAAAAAAAAAAGCTAGGCTCAGGCACCTTAGAGTCCCTGCTTTGTATTCTGGCTGTTGCCTAACCGCTTTTAAAGAGATGAAAGGTTTGTTTTAAAGCCCAATTGAGCTCTCAGTTTACATCAACTAAATACATTCCAGGTGGATCAAAAACAAAATATGTTCAGTGTTCACCAGTTCACTGTCTTTCTATAGCAGCCACAGCCTGAGTAAAGAAGCCTGTCTCTGCCAGCATGCTACAGAGTGGAACCTTTGTTCTCTTTGGGGAAGCAGTGATCTGACACACCCTTACTGAGTCAGAGCCAGAGCTCTCCAATTAGCAGGGGGCATGAGCTTTGCTAACTGCAGAGCTATAGGTCTGACTCAGTAAGGGGGTGTCAAACCTCTGCAGAGAGACCACTACTCCCACACAGAAAGCAAGGGTCCCACATTGCAGCTGCTGGAAGTGGACAGGCTGTTCTACTCAGGCTTTGAAAAAGAAATGTAACTCTAAGAAAAAGCACAATTTTTGATGCACTGGAATGTACTGTGTATAGCTCATTTAAACAGAGTTCAATTGGGCTTTAAAATTGGTACTATAGGCCAAACATTTGACCTCCTGTCTCTCTCTGTAGAAAGTTATAGCATTTTACAAACGGATAGATTTGTATAGGCCTGCTTTAATCATGCACATTCAGTTCCAATCTTCCACCCATCTGATTATGTCTAATAATGTTTAAACCTTTGGCAATTTTGAGCCTAGCTGTGCAGAAAATGCACATGTGGTACAGAAATACTATTACATCAACATATAATGAGGAAAAATGATTTTACCTTCCAGTCTGGAGCCAGCTGTGCACCAAATCCCAATGCTGGGAATAGTTTATCTCTACAATTACAAGAAAAATAACCCAAAAACAAAATAAGATCACAGGAAATGACACGTTAAGCTTCATCACAACATCCTATATATTATCTTACAACACTAAATCCTGTTTTCTGTGTCGTGGTAAAGCATGTACTGCAAATGGGTCTCATCTAACATGTGTTCACTCTCATAAGTCTCCGTCCACAAAGCAATTTAATCCCTTTGTTCTCACGTATTGTAATAAATGCAAGAAAGTCATCAGGGTTACCTAAACAGCATAAGAAAACGGCATCCAAATCTTTCTGATGGCTTACAGATCCAGTGGCTTCAAAGCTTTCAGAGTCACTACCGTGGAACAAGTATGCAGATATGGAATAAAGAATGGAAGTAAGGAATAGGAGAAATAGGAAGAGAAAGATAGAAGCATTTATCTGCACACTTGTTTCAGGTCAGTGACACAAAGTACTCAGCACTACAACCAGGAAATCACCATTTTCAGATGTCCAATTACACACACACCAGCACGACACTTTCCAAGCCAGTGCAAATCCATTTTATTTAATAGATGTCACTCAAATATCAAGCACTTTCGGGCCGCGCAGGGTCCCCTTCATCAGGTTCGGAGATGACTTGGAAAGTGTTGTGCTGGTGTGCGGATGACATCTTTATTCAAAGTTCTACTGTGAGCGGCGCCATGCGCGGTAATTTCGAGCACCCAACATTATTTTGGGATATCCGGTAAGGAGTGCTACAGGACATATGACACCACCAAGGGGGTTCGTGGCGGTTGGGGCACATTGCCGAAACCGGCCTTGTGGCAGCGGCAGGGAGGGTAAATCCGGTCCTACACACACACACACCCACACCCAAACACACACAATTCAATTGTCAACGTCAATTTTTCTAAGATTACTTTGGTCAGGTGCTGAGTAACCTACTAGGAGGTTTGATGCATAGGGAAAAAAAGCTACATATCATGGGAAAACCAGAAACTCTGTGCAAAAAACACCATGATGAGGATTAAATAAAAAACCTCAGCGCTGCCAGGCAGCAGTGCCAAGTACTGAGGCACCATGCTGCTCATAATTATTTCAGCGTGAACCATAACACTTGATTGTGTTTCTTCTAAATATGCAATCATGTCAACCATTATATTTGATCCTTTATAGATTCAAACAGGCTGATCCTACAAACTAAAAATACACATTTAGGTGTAAACATTTGGAGCTTTTTTACCAGAGGGGTGCACGGAAAACTGAAGCAAAGTAGAACATAGGACACACATAGGAGTCTATATAAAAAAAAGCATAGCTATTCATCCAATGAAACTGCACATACATACTTTTTGTGCAAATTAACCAGCTGTTGTGAGAATGGGGCAAAATCGAATGTTCTTAAGGCTATTTTCTCTTCCAGTCGAATGTTCTTTAAAGTAACACTAAACTCAGGAGTTAAGCTATACAAATGCATTCAAGCACCTTAACTATTAACAAAATGTATCTTATTTGTGTATCACTCATCTGTAAATTCTCAAATCATCTCTGAATTGGTGCTGACACTGTCCTTCCTTCTGGAGGGTGGCTATTTTTGTTCCCCATGGTCCCTGTGTGTGTTGTAAAGTAGTCAAGCTCGCTCCTGTGATAGACTACTGTATAATCTCGATACAAAATAAGCAACTAAACATGAGATTGTAGTCCATCATAGGAACGAGCTTGAATTGGGAACAGTGTCAGCATGAATTCAGAGATGAATTGAGGATCTACAGCTGAGTGATACACAAATGAGCTACATTTTTGTAGTGCTTGAATGCATGTTTAAAGGAGAACTATGAGGTGAGTGCTTTTCACTCACCTCATAGTTCTAGCCGACCTGTGACAATGAGACTGTCACAGGTCGGCTCAGTAGATCGGGAAGTGAGCGAACACATACCGCCGTTCGCTCACCTCCCGATCCTGTCACAGCTCTCTGCCGTGACAGGGGAGGGGCTGGACTCCCCCTACCCGCTCCTATCCTCCAGCGCTGACTGGCAGAACGGACGGGGGAGGGGACGGGTACAGCTGGCTCTGCCTCTAGATAGGCAGAGCATGCTGTCACTCACGCAGCTGAGCGGATCCAGACATAATTGTCGGGATCCGCTTCAGCTGCGGCGTCTCAGTATACCGCGAGCATTAGCTCGCGGTATACTGTGGCGGTCTCAGTATACCGGGAGCGGTAGCTTGCGGTATACTGAGCCTAGGGTGACGGGAGGACGCTAGTTTGTGTCCTCCCGTTACCCTAAGGAGAACTATGGGGAAAAGCCTTAACCCCATAGTTCTCCTTTAAGATTTAATTCCTGAGTTTAGTGCTACTTTATGTTATGGGTAGTAGTGAATTGGGAAAATACCCCATTATGGCCACTAGATGGCACTGAGGATTATAGGAAATAAATAACTTTTAGTAACAAGAGATACAATGTAACAATTCTAAAGAATGCTGGAGGGAACTAGCAGATAAATGTAGTCAGTGCTACTATGGGGATCCTCAAAGGCTCTTTAGTAACCCATGTAGTTTATCTTTTAAACAGAGCAAAGAAACTGAATGATGCTTTTGGCAACTTCTGCATTTTTGCTCTACTTTTTTTGTACCGATAATTGCACATCAGCCTTCCTTTTTTACAATTTTTTTTATATACTATTAAAAACTAACTATTACAGCTAAATAGAATTTCATATAAAAAGATGTGTTCGCTTTGAAAGTTAAAAAGATAAAGCTGTACTGTAATAAATACTTCCCATGTCTTCCCAGCATTATTTTGTTAACAAGACTTTGAGCCCTTTTCATGCACATTATTGAAGCTTTTAAAACATGAATTTCTGTCGTTTGACAGAAATCCATTTTTCTCTCCCAGCAAGCAGCAGAAAACAAATGAGCATGTTACCGTGGTAACTGTTGTGCAGATTCTGTATTAGACCAGCCACTTATTAGAGATGCTGAACAAGTTTCCTGTGCAGGCTGATTCTTGGATCTAGCTACGTTTCCCTTTCATTGGGGGTCATCAGATTTTTCATTATGGAACATTAGTTGAGTCAGCTGACACAAAAAGTTAAACTCTGAGAAACTTAGCTGAACGCAGAGGATGTTTCACTCCAAATACAAACACACTACATCAATATGACATTATAAAACAGCAGAATCAATAAGATCAGGTAAAGATTAATGATCATTTCAATTGTTTAATACGGGTAAGGGTTTAGATCCAGTTTTGTTTTAAGTATAGAGAAAAAGGATTATAAATGTGCATCACAGGCATATATCTTAATTGAAAGTGGTAGTCGGCTATATGATAAAGGAGAGAAATTAATTCCAGAGAAAATTCTTTTAGGTGATATCCCTAAGTAAATATAAAGTATCAAAATGTATTTCCACTTTTTCAGCCAAATTGGGATAACATCTACTTTTTATTTGTCACATGTTCCCATTTACATAGCATAACAATAGCAAAGCAATACAGTACTTCTCCCATTTCAAGTTCTTTTCACTTGCTTCAAAATCCTACCCTGCCTCCCCCCTATGTAATGTTAAGGAGGGGTGTATGGAGTTAATGTTTACCATAATTTATCTTGTCTTTTGTGTGCTGACAGATTTGTAAACTAGATTGGAACACTGTCTGTCCTAACAAAGGGATCTAGAAGCATTGTTTGTTAAGGAAACTCAGTGTGCCACTAGTTTTTCAAAGGGGACAGAATCTGTTTCTAATTGTTTAGAGTAGCTTGCAGCCTGCACAAAGGCTCCAAGAAAACATATAAAGTTTCCCTTAAAAAAAAAAAATATTTTTCATTATGCAGTGTGGATGGGAACACATAACAAACACATGGGGGGGGGTTCTCTATTTCGATTGAAGTGAAAAGCAAAAGTGAAAAGCTGAATCTAAGGTTCCTTCTTCTGCTTGTTGCTAAACTTGTATTACCGTGTATAGCCAGCAGATGGCAAAGTAGAGACCACGGAACACTGTAGGCTTTTAATCTGAAGACAAGAACAGTTCTGGATGAACTATTTTATTTCCAATGAGTCATAGCATCACAACACTTTTCCTTTGAATCGTTTGTCCCTGGAAATATTCTCTTTGTTTAATTCTGGACACTTTCATAATAAATAGGTAATGTGCAGTATTTTTATTCAATTTAAAAGTTAATTGTAGAGTACAAGTAACACAGGTAAAAGGTATTACAAAAACTTGTAGATATAGTATTACAAAAATATTCAAGTAATAAGGTTAAAAGGTTAATAAGGTTAAAAGTATTAAAGTGATTTTAAAGTTAAAAGGTTTTTAAGCATTTTCAATTGCTGATTAAATCACGTACAATGGATGTTTAAAAGTATCAGTTTCCTGCAGAATCAAATGGTCCCTTGAGCACTGGCCCTGATATCCTGTTTTACGTGGACCTTTTTCTTTGCAGGGTCCTATGGGGCCAACCGTGTGTGTGTAGGCCCAGCAGGGCAAGCCACTGCCTTCCTCCATGCTCCCTGCTACTCCTTCACCCCCCCTCCCATCTCCCTTCTCCATGCTAGTAGATGGGCAATTTTAGTAGATGGACAGCTGTATTATTTAACTGCAGTAGAACAAAAGGCCTGGCTGTGCTTTCTGGCAGGGATGTTTGTATCACAAGACTGGCTGAACAGAATTATAGAAACTTTAACACGAAAACATGCCATATATGTGTATTAGGCTGTTTTCAGGGAGATTAGCTTTTTAACAACAGACTTCACTGCTTCAGATAAAGTGACAAAAAGAAAATCAGCACTAATGCCTCTAACCCAGGGCAAGGGCTACAGTCATAAAAGGCAATGCATTAAAGGGAACAGAATCACAGTGGGCCAAGTATTATAAGGATTTGTAAACACTTATGGATAGGTACCAACACAGAAAGAGAACTGTGTGATCCAAATCTGATCATACTATATATAAACACTTGCAAACATGACAGATAGGTGCTGACCTGTGGATAGGTAGATTGGAAATGTATTGGGTAATTCCTATTGTT